TCAACGTGGATGGAACTGGAGGGTATTATGCTGAGTGAAGTAAGTCAATCGGAGAAGGACAAACAGTGTATGTTCTCACTCATTTGGGGAATATGAATAACAGTGAAGGGGAATATAAGGGAAGGGAGAAGAAATGTGTGGGAGATATCAGAAAGGGACACAGAACATAAAGACTTCTAACTCTGGGAAATGAACTAGGGGTGGTGGAAGGGGAGGAGGGCGGGGGGTGGGGGTGGGTGGGTGACGGGCACGGAGGGGGACACTTGGCGGGATGAGCACTGGGTGTTATTCTGTATGTTGGTAAATTGAACACCAATAAAAATTAATTTATATAAAAAAAAAAAAAGAAGTGTCTGCCTTCAGCTCAGGTCATGATCTCAGGGTCCTGGGCTCCCTGCTCAGGGGGGAGTCTACTTCTCCCTTTTTCCCTCCCCCCACCTTGTGCACTCACTCTCTTGCTCTCTGTCATAAATAAATAAATAAATAAATAAATAAATAAATAATAAATAAAATCTTTTTTAAAAATATATTTTTTTAAGTAGGCTTCATGCCCAACACGGAGCCCAACATAGGGCTCAAACTCACACCATGAGATAAAGACCTGAACAGAGAACAAGAGTTGGACACTCAACCGACTGAGCTACCTAGGTGCTCCTGATTTTAAAATCTTCATGCATTTTCTAGTATGTGCTGGCTTAAAGCCTGAGGAGAATAGCATTATTCGTGTTGTATTAAGTTCTAATAGTCAACTCAATATCATTGTATTCTAGGTGTTGGTTCTGTGACTTAGAGATGTGGGTTGAATGGAGTGACCCCTCCTTACCCACCATGTGAATCCTGCTTTAGGATCCATCCAACAGCCAGAGATCTAGGTAAAGGATCTTGGCTTTTGTGTGGTCTCTTATCTCCCATGTGTTCTACAAATTCCTATCCTTCTTCCCTGTCTGGAGTCAGGCTTTCAGCACTTCTTACCTGGTGAGAATCACCTGCTTCACTGCTCAGACTCCTTGTCCTCCAGACTGGCATCTTCAGTCCAGCCTTCCATTGCAGTCCCTGCTTCTGTTCTAAGGTACAAATACAGGGACACCGGGGTGGCTCAGTTGGTTAGGCATCCTACTTTTTTTTTTTTTCATCCTACCCTTGATTTCATCTCAGGTCATGATCTTAGGGTTGTGAGATCAAGCCCTGCATCCAGCTCTGTGCTGAGCAAGGAACCAGCCTAAGATTCTCTCTCTGCCCTACCACCTTCCTCTCCAAAAAAGTAAATAAGGTACAAATACACTCATGCTTATACTCACTCAACATGGAGGGGTGCCTCTAGGGGAATCGTTAGAATGAGAGACTGAATCTGCCATGATTGTCACCTTTCCCACCTTGACCTTCACCCTTCTATGCTTCCAGTTCCATTTCATGGCTCCCTACTCTTCTGGGTCACCCACATTCCACCTCTGCTAGACCACAGGTGGCTTTGTGTCTATAATCACATTCACGTTTTCTCTTCTGGAAGGGTGTTTCCTCCTCTGTCCAATTCACTTTTACTCATCCCCCAAGGGGTAGTGTTACCTCTGCTGGGAAGTCGTGGATTCTCAGACTTGACTCCAGGTCTCTTCTCAGTGTGCCCATCATCCCCAGAGCATACGATATGCTCCCAATAAACAATTCACTGGTTCACGTGCGGCACTTAACTGTGAGCTCTCAGAGGGCAGGGCAGGGTGTTTCCTGGCACATAGCAGCCATTCAACACATGCTGGGTGAATGACTGTGGAGTGGATGAATGGCTGGGACAAGATCTGTTCTTATGCTTATTGCCAAAAGCTTTTTTGCAAAATGACAGTGCCTGTCACCTGGGCCAAGAGAAACCAGAAAAGAAGCCAGTGTCCCAGCCTGGAGGGCAGAAAATTAGAGGGCAGGTAGATGCCCTTGTAGGGGCCATCAGGGAGGTGGCCACAGGAATCAAAGGGAGAAACTGTCCTTAAGATACAAACATGGGAGGCTCTAACTCAGGTTTTAGCCTTCAGTTTTCTCAACATGGATATTTGCTCCAAGACACCATAAATAGAAACAAAGAAAAGGATTGGAAAAGGAATTTGAGACAAAGATTTAAAGACCTTTGGTATTTAAAATTAAGAACCAAATTAAAGGAGAGGCCCTGAAGTAAATAAAGAACGTGTTCACTCAACACAGGACTGATGGGGAGACATCCAGGGACTCAGCAGTGCCGTTTCCCTGAGCAGGCATCGACACTGGGAGCCGGAGGGCGTGGGATTCCCTCTGGAAGAGTGACAAGAGGAATCTCCCTCCATCTAGTTTGCCTTAGTGCCGTCCTGAGGATCAACAAATCACTAACATCCCAAAATTTCTGCTGCAAGAGCAAAGGCAGGCCAGAACTATCACCAGAAAGCCACTAAACATCCCCACTGCACCTGGGGATATGCTCTGGCTGATGTCCCCATGTGCCAGGTCCTGGACAGCAACACTGCAGGTCCAGAAGCTGAACCTAGGGTTGATCGGACATAGAAACACACTCACATTAACAAAATTTCCAAGAGGTATATGTATAGATCAGAACAACCTGAGAAAAAAGTGCTAAGAAATAAAATGGTAAGTAGCCCATGATCCTCATGCCTACAGATCTGTGTACACTCCCTCTAAAGTCACAGTGCCAAGTGAGGGGCACTGGGGGACACGGAGTCTAGCAAAGGCTACTGGTTTGGTGACCCTAAGCCTAATGCCAGGGGACTCTGCTAGCCAACCCCCTTGTCTCCACAGTAAGGTGGGATCTCACCTACTCAGCAGAAGCTTGGATTTGGGAGCACCTGGATAGCTCAGTCAGTTAAATGTCTGACTCTTGATTTTGGCTCAGGTTATGATCTCAGGATCAGGTTGTGAGATCCAGCCCTTCATTGGGCTCCACATGCTCAGCCTGCTTGAGATTGTCTCTCTCCCTCTCCCTCAGCCCCTCTGTCTCCTTCTTTTCCTTCCCCTGTATGCTTGGAGAAATGTTTTCTCTCTCTCTCTCTCTCTCTCTCTCTCTCGAAGAAGAAGAAGAAGAAGAAGAAGAAGAAGAAGAAGAAGAAGAAGAAAAAGAAAAAAGAAACTTGCATTTGAATGGATTTTTTTTTCTTTCTGCCTATAGCTCTTCTGGCCCCTCTCTTCCTCAGAAAGGATGTAGGGGATTAGGTTTAAGACTTTTGGAAATAATACCCAAACTAGTTGATGTCATAGTTTGGAGCTCCCAAAAGCAGATACCGTGATAAAGACTTGGGTGAAGATAGTTTTTTGGAAGATGATCCCAGGAAGCACAAGGGAGGACATGAGGAAAGGGAGCCAAGGAAGGGAGAAAAGTCAAAGGTTCATTAATGATCAGGATGCTCCTTGTTCCCCACTAGGGCCCATCTGAGATACCATGGGAAGCAAGCCCAGTAAAGTATACTCCCACTAATTCCCTTCTCCATTGGTTGAAGCTTATTCCTGGAGGCATTTACTATCCACGGTACCTCCAAGCTATGCTTCAAGTGCCAAAGAAAGCCTTCAAGCAGGGGGGAAGAGAGAGAAACCAGAGTCCATGGATGCTTGGAATCATCTGTAAGTGCCTAGGAATTCACAGGCACCCACTCGGATTGTGCTGTAGCTGACATCTCCCCGGCCACTGCTCTGGGATCGTGGTCCCACAGCATTCAGCCCAAGAATTCAAGCCCAAGAATGGAAATGATACTCATTGAAAAGGTTGTTTTTTTTTCCCCCCAATGTTTTCATTTACTGTGAACTATAAATGATTCATAACTTGATTTTCCCCACTTGTCACAAAATGTGAATTTTCAGTTCATTTTAAAGATTAATTTTTAAACTTAGGGATCCCTGGGTGGCACAGCGGTTTGGCGGCTGCCTTTGGCCCAGGGCGCGATCCTGGAGACCCGGGATCAAATCCCACATCGGGCTCCCGGTGCATGGAGCCTGCTTCTCCCTCTGCCTGTGTCTCTGCCTCTCTCTCTTTCTCTCTCTGTGACTATCATAAATAAATAAAAATTTAAAAAAAACTAAAAAAATTTTTTTAAACTTAAACCAACCCCTAAAAAAGTAGTAATATTTAAAATCATCTTTCAGTTCATTTCTATTTTAATATAGAAATTAACAGACCTACTCAAGATTTAAGATTCTGTCTTTTTATTCAATTAATAGCTTACAATTAAACATTTATTATTGCTATTAAGGACAACTAAAAATTATTAATTGTGCCTAAATTACAATCAAGTCAAAATTTTCCAAATGAAGATATAATACTAAAACATTTACCCTCCTTTCTGCTTATGATATAATTACAGAGACAGTCAACCTACTATTTATCTAGAGTATTTATTCAACCACATTATAAACCATTAATTTTTAGAGAAAGTTTAGTTACCAAACACTCTTGGCTTATGCTTGAGTGTCTAGAGTATAATCTTTATTGTTCTTCCAACTGTGATAGCGAGTGGCAGTGACAAAATTTCTGATATCTGCCACTTGTAGCTGAAGTGCTATGATGGAAGAAGTGTACCATGATTTAAAGCCAACAAAAAAGCAAAGGCATAGGGGAATTCCAAGAACAGTATTTGAAACCTGCAGAGGTTTATGCCCCTTCCAACAGATAGTGAACACAGGGTTTTCAGGGAAGAAGGTTGGAAGGGCTGTAGCAGCTTGAGCCCTAGGAATGCTCCAAATGGCCCTGCTGGGATTTGCTTCTAGAACAGGGCACACACAGAGTCTTGAGAAACCTCAGGAAATGAATCAAAACTGTCCAGGATGGGCAATAGAGACAAATGTAAAGAGAAGATCCAGACCACAGTGGGGAAGGGGACTGGATCCAGGAAAGTTTGCTCAGAAAGCAAGGCACCGTATGTTTGAACAATATGCAAAAACAACAGAGTGGGGAGCTCTCTAGATTTAGAAAAGCTTTTCTGAACACTTCTTCAATTGGAAAGTTCGGGAGAACCAATTCTACTTAAAAACGAGTAACAGACGTGCTTATTTTAGCAGCACATATACTAAAATTGGAACGATGCAGAGAAGATTAGTATGGCCTCTGTGCAAGGAAGACACTCAAATCTGTGAAGCATTCCATATTAAAAAGAGAGAGAGAAAGTAACATAAAATATTGAGGTCAAATCCCATACAAAATGACTATAATAGAGTAAGAAGCAGAATAAACATTCGTACAGACAATCAAAGCATGCCAGAAAGATGTGGCAACAGAACAGATCTGAATTAACCTATTATCTCAGAATAAGCTAAAATGATATAACATATGGGTAAACAATACTTAGGAAGACCCAGAAATGAGATAACGGAACTCACAAAACAATTAGAAGTCAAAGAAAAGTTTATATCAAAATGAAGCCTAAATTAGAAGGAACATAGTAGTGAATAGACAAAAATCGCTCCTGAAAAGAAATAGCTGATTAAAAAGAAAGAAGAAGAAGAAAGAAGAAAGGAAGAAGAAGAAGAAGAAGAAGAAGAAGAAGAAGAAGAAGAAGAAGAAGAAGAAGAAGAAATTTAAATCAGAAATAAATTTTAAAAGGGTGCCCGGTAACCCAGTAGATTGGGTGTTTGACTCTTGGTTTCAGCTCAGTTCATGATCTCAGGGTCATGAAATTGAGCCCCACCTTAGGCTTTGCCCTTAGAGTGGAGTCTGCTGGAGATTTTCCCTCTTCCTCTGCCTCTCCTCCCATTCCTGCTCCTGTTCTCTCTCTCTAGAATAATGAACAAATAAATCTTTAAAAAAAATTTTTTAAACCTTTGAGAAAAAATAATGAGTATTGAAAATAGGGAAAGAAGATTAAACACACAGATAGTAGGAGTCCCTTAAAAAGATAATAGAAGCAAGGGAAGAAAAATATTAAAAACATAATTCAAGAAAAATTCCTAGAAATTAAAAAAAGGATATGAGAGTCCAAATTGAAACAGCATAGTGCAAACCTGAGACCACTGACCTCAAATAACCAACAGCAAGATACGAAAGTTTAGTAGAATTACTGAGTTTAAAAAGTCAAAATAAAAAAAAAAAAAACACGTTGGGCCTTTAGAAAAAAGGACATGGGACTTGTAAGGAAAAAGAAATGAGATTACCCTCAGACTTTTTACTGGAATGATTTCATCCAGAAGAAAATAGAGCTCATATTTAAGAAACTCAAGGAAAGGAATTATAAGTCAAGGATTTTATATCCAGAGAAACTGACTCTCAGATATAAAATTATTATGGACAAGCAAGAGATCCAGGAATGCTCAGTCATCAGCTATAAAGATATTTGATGAGCATGGAATATACAGTTACCTGTAGAAGTAAGCAGGGATGAAGAGCAAGAGGTCAGAGTAAGTCACAAGGGTGTATTGTGACAACACAGATAAAGACAACTGTTTTTCTAATTAGGGAAAAGAGAATGTGGTGAATATTTGCATAAAAAATGCCTTAAATATATTTGTGGTAGTATTAGTACTTTTATTCTGAGGCTGCTGTGTACTCAATATGGGATAAAACAAATGTGTGATTATGGGCTGTATTAATTCTATCATCCCTTGTGTCCTTGAGAACCAGGAATCTTGGTATCAAAGAAGGTACATGTATAATAGAAAAGAACTATAAGAAAAATTACATAAAATTCTAAGTCTTTTTTTTTAAGATTTTATTCATTTATTCATGAGAGACACAGAGAGAGGCAGAGACATAGGCAGAGGGAGAAGCATACTCCATGCAGGTAGCCTGATGTGGGACTCGATTCTGGGACTCCAGGATCATGCCATGGGCCAAAGGCAGATGCCCAACCGCTGAGCCACCCTGGCATCCCAAATTCTAGACTCTTAAATCAATATGAAAAAAAAAAAAAAAGAAATCAGTATGAAGGGACACCTGGGTGGCTCAGTGGCTGAGTGTCTGCCTTCGGCTCAGAGCATGATCTTGGAGTCCTGGGATTGAGTCCAATGTCAGGCTCCTTGCATCTCCAGCCTGCTCCTCCTGTCTCTGCTTCTCTCTGTGTCTCTCATGAATAAGTAAATAAAATCATTTATTTTATATACATATGTATGTATTTATATACATACATATGATCAAAAGCTATAAGCTTCCAGTTATAAGATACGTAAGTACCAGGGATGAACAATTTGATAACTACAGTTACCATTGCTACATGATATGTGGGAAAGGTCTTAAGGGAGTTAATCTTAAGTGTTGTCATCACAAGAAACATTTTTTTTTTGGAAGATACTTATGTATTCCTGAAAAACACGCACAGAGAGAGGCAGAGACACAGGCAGAGGAAGAAGCAGGTTCCATGCAGGAAGCTCCATGTAGGTCTTGATCCTGGGACCCCGGTATCACGCCCTGAGCCAAAGGCAGATGCTTGACTGCTGAGCCACCCAGGTGTTCCAATTAACATTTTTTCATACCTTTTTATTATGTCAGTATGAGATAATGGATGTCAACTAACCTTACTGTGGTAATCAATCATGACGTGTTAATCACACCTTTATTCTGTACACCTTAAACTCACACTGTGATATATGTCAATTATATCTCAATAAAACTGGAAAAATATTTTATTTTATTTTATTTTATTGGAAAATATTTTATTTTATTTTTTTAATTTTTATTTATTTATTTATGATAGTCACACACACACACACACACACACACAGAGAGAGAGAGAGAGAGAGAGAGAGGCAGAGACACAGGCAGAGGGAGAAGCAGGCTCCATGCACCGGGAGCCCGATGTGGGATTCGATCCCGGGTCTCCAGGATCGCGCCCTGGGCCAAAGGCAGGCGCTAAACCGCTGCGCCACCCAGGGATCCCGGAAAATATTTTAAATAAAAAGAAAAACGTTAAAATTATTGCTTCATATATTAAAAATACATTGCTGAAAAGGCTGATAAATAATAACTAATCCGATTGAAGTGAGCATCTCCAGAGCTCAATATGTCATCTAAAAGAGTTTCTCACTGAAAGAAACTGGTGCTTCTTAGAGAAATGACTGATTCCAGACCTAGAGCAGGAAACATATAGGTGACCTGAAACATCTTTTAATGCCAGATGGAGGCTATCAGAGATGACTAGGGTCATGTCAAAAGGACCCAGGAGGCAACATGAAATGCCTCCCTCAGGCCAAAGATGGGACAATGAGCTTCTATAATGCTAACAACTGCTATTGAGTGAAATACCCCTGTCCCCAATCTACAGCTTCAAAAGTTATTACCGAGAAAGGATTATATTTGAAAGATGACAGAGAGAGGATTCATGATCTTGAAAACAGGTGACTACAGAAGAGTCAAGCATTGTTCTACCTTATTCATGTAAGAATCATCCCACTGGGGAACCAAATAGTAGATGAAGGGAGGCATCTCTTTAAAATTGTATTCCAGCTCATAAATGAAAAATGAAATGGCCGAATTAGAATATCACCATTTAGCAATCCCCAATAATTTAACACAGAAAGGCATGAAGCATCAAAGCCTGTTAACATGACAAAGAAAGAGAGACAGTTAATTAAGTGCCTCCTATTATCTGGCCGAAAGGACCTAACCTGAATCTGATCCAGTCTCTGGAGCCAGCTACAAATTTTCAGGAGATACAAGGACAAAAGAACACGTTAAACTATACATAAGTGTGCAATCGGCAAAGGACAGACTGTGGGAAATTTTACAGGTCAAAGGTCCTTCAACAGATTAACCTGGAAGAGAACAAAAGGATGGAAAAGGAGCCAAGAGATTAAAAGAGACTTGAAAGATAGACATTTTTTAAGCAAGGTCAGTGCCCAAAGTGGGACTTGAGCTCACAACTCCAAGGTCAAGAGTTGCATGTTCCACTGGTTGAGCCAGCCAGGTGCCCCAAAGATAAGCATTTTTTAATATAAGACAGTGATTATGACGTAACAAAAAATATGTATCTGGTCTCTGCCCATTCTCGGCACAGAGCTTCTAAGACCCTTGGAATCTTCTGAGTCCTAGGAGTGTCTTTGGTATACTAACGAGATGTCTCTAGGCTAGAGCGTCTCTAGTTAGACTCCATGTGGAGGCTGGTTGCCAGGGGAACCAGTCCTGTGATTAGAGGGGTGGAATTTCAACCCCTTACCATGGCCCTTTCACCCCCACCCTGCCTGCTCCCACCAAATCTCCAGGGAGGCAGGAGGGCTAGAGATAGAGTCAATCACTGCAGCCAACAATTTAATCAATCGTGCCTACATAGTAGAACCTCCACAAAACCCTTAAATGATGAGGTGTGGAGAGCTTCTGGGTTGGTGAATACATCTGTGTGCCCAGGAGGATGGTACATACCAAATTCCAAGGGGTCAGAAGCTTCTGTGTTTGGTACCCTCCCAGACCTTGCTCTCTATGCTTCTTCACCTGGCTGTTCATTTCTATCTTTTACTAAATCCTCTATAATAACAGTAAATAAAGTGTGTCCCTGAGCTCTGTGAGTCGATAAAGCAAATTACTCAAATTGTAGCCAAGTCAGACAGAAGTGTAAGTGACCTGGGGACCCGCCACTTACAATTGGCTTCTGGGGTGAGGTTAACTTTAGTGGGACTGAGCCCTTTACCTGTGGGGTTGGTACTCACACCGGGTGGTTAGGGTCAGAACTGAATTAAATTGTAGGCTTCCCAAGTGGAGTCCGAGAATTGATGAAGTGCTTGATGTGGAAAATCTGCACATTTGGTGGCAGATGTGTTACGTGAGAGAAACAGTTTTCCTTTCATCGTGGGTGGGGATGCATGTTTAGGTGATAAAGATGCATTTAAAAAAAGCACAAGAAATGTACCACTGTAACAGTCCACACGATGGTTGCCTATGGGGCCACGGGAGAGGTTGTGGCTGGGACAGGGCCTTGTGATTGCATGGGGCTTCGGGGCGGCTGGCCAAGTTGCGGTTCTTCACCTGATGGCGTTTGCCTTGAAATAATTCGCTAAGCCAAAGGTTTGATTTGTGAAGTTTTCTATACTTGTGATTTATTTTACAAGAAAAGGATTTTAGAAGCAAAACAAAAGCTTATCCCATGAGCACGATTTCCTTTTTGAAAGCTAAAACCTGATTTGTCCTGTGTGCTTCTCTATACATTATGAAATAACTGTTTCGATAAAACA